TGTTTGGCTACAGGATTACAGGTTAACTGTGTTTGGCTACAGGATTAATGTTTTTGGACACATCGTTTTAGCTGAAGGATCATTGTTTGGGTGTAGATATTTAAGATTAGGCTTAGTTTTAAATGCATTTCGTAAAATTCTATTACTGGACTTGCAGTTGTTATATAGTTTCAACACAAATGGTTTCGTCTTCCACGACACCAGACAATATTTCCAGGTCCATTGCTCCCATTCTTGCCACGTGTTGCAAGATTTCCAAATTTGAAACGAAAAAAAATAATTTTGTTGCTGGATTTTATTAATTTGATGTAAAATGGATGTGAGACGGAAAGAGAATTCTTAAGATGAAATAGACAAATAGTCAAGCAGACAGACAGGAAGGCAGACAGACAGACAGGTAGGCATAGACAGGCAGACTTACAATCAAGCAAATAGATAAAAATTGACATAACGGTGGATAGACAAACATAGAAATTGTATATGTAGGGAGAGGTTTATTGACGGAGAGCGAGACAGAAGGATGTAGAAAGAGAGCAAAGGACGAGAAGACAAAATGTAATAATTATGAGGAGAGGAAGAAGGAGAGGAGTGATGATGAGAGAGAGAATGTGACAGAGAGATAGAGTGGAGGGGTAAGGAAGGGAAAATGACACGATGGTGAGAGTGAGATGAATCTGAGAAGAAAGGTGAAGATGACGGTGATGATATGAAAGAGAAAGATAAGGGAAAAGGTGAAAGCTATTGAGAAAGGAAGAGGAAGAAGGAAAAAGGCAGAGTAGGAAGAGAAAGGAACGACAAGGGGAGGAGAGTTAGGGAAATGTGTACACCAGGAAGAGGAGCACAGAGAGAGATGGTAGACAGGTGGAGAGGGGAAACAGGTGGACAGGGGGAGACAAGTGGAGAGGGGGGGACAGGTAGAGTGTGGAAGACAGAGAGATGTGGAGGGTTAAAACATAATTGCTCATTGTTACCCAAACTTTTGACAACTCTGCAACAAATTACACCTCGGCAGCTGTTTTATATTCACGTCTGGATTTAAACAATGACAATAATTGGGTGAAATTGTTTGACGCAGCAGTGGGATTAGCGCTCCCCCTCCCCGACACACACACACACACACACACACACACACACACACACACACACACACACACACACACACACACACACACACACACACACACACTAAAAGGAAAAAAAGACGAAAAAAGGAATGATTGCAGGTTAAATGTGCACCAGTTACAAATGTGGCCTACATCTGTAGTTTATTATAGGCCTAAATTCGTCATCTAGGGTGTTGCAATGCCACAAGAAAATTACACCAATCAAACAGACTCATTTCTCTTTTTTTTTCATTTCTTTTTATATTTGCTGTTTTCTTCTCGTCATCTCTTTTTTTCGGTCGTATCATTCTCAGTTTTATTCAAAATTAAATACTAAAAATAAATATAATCTCGTCTACAAAAACTCACAGTTTTAAATTCTATCTCCTTAGTGCAACATTTTCTGCTCCACTTTCATTTGCATGCTGAAAGCTTGCTGTTTATTTTGGCTTAATTACCAGGCATCAAGTATTGCTTCATCAGCCTTGCCCTGGAGGTGAAGGAGGAGTCCTGGGGTGGAGAAGGGGGTTCCTGGGGTGGAGGAAGGGTCCTAGAGATGAAGGAGGGGGTCCTGGGGTGGAGGAGGGGTCTTACGGATGGAGATGGGGTCCTGGGAGTAGAGGAGGGGTCCAAGGGGTGGAGAAGGGGTCCTACGGGTGGAGATGGGGTCCTTGGCGTAGAGGAAGGGGGTCCAAGGGGTGGAGAAGGGGTCCTACGGGTGGAGATGGGGTCCTGGGGGTAGAGAAAGGGGTCCAAGGGGTGGAGAAGGGGTCCTACGGGTGGAGATGGGGTCCAAGGGGTGGAGAAGGGGTCCTACGGGTGGAGATGGGGTCCTGGGGGTAGAGGAAGGGGTCCAAGTGGTGGAGAAGGGGTCCTACGGGTGGAGATGGGGTCCAAGGGGTGGAGAAGGGGTCCTACGGGTGGTGATGGGGTCCTGGGGGTAGAGGAAGGGGTCCAAGGGGTGGAGAAGGGGTCCTACGGGTGGAGATGGGGTCCTTGGCGTAGAGAAGGAGTCCTGGGGTGGAGGAGGAGTCCTGGAACTTGACCTATGGGGGACGTCCAACTTCGTCTTGTGCTTGACTAGATATGGACTCCACGCTTGAGCCGCATTCTCCAGGATTGGTCTGACACATGTGATATACAAGGTTACTTGTATAATTACGCAAATTTGTAAAGGGAGTTTTTATGATAGATAGTTTAGCATATGCCGCTGATGATATCCTTTTGATATGAGTTTCTGGAAACTGGTGTGGTGTAATATCAACCTCTAGATCTCTATCTCTGTCTGATGGAAGATTTCATCTCCCATTTTGTACCTTGTGTCCTGTCTCCCTTGTGTGTGTGTGTGTGTGTGTGTGTGTGTGTGTGTGTGTGTGTGTGTGTGTGTGTGTGTGTGTGTGTGTGTGTGTGTGTGTGTGTGCGTATGTGTGTGCGTGTACTCACGTCACTATGCCTGCTGAGGCTGAGCTGCGTGCGAGCGTGCAAGAAGTTCGTGGATCAGGTGATCGACGAACTACGATACGGTAACGGCATCTTGCCTGACGTTCTCTGAGCCGACCTTCACAACAGAGGAACGCGACAACAGGAGAGATAACACGGGGGGAGAGAGAGATGACGAGGCGATAAAATCAAAGAAGAAAGAAGCAAAGATTTCAATACTCTGAGCCATATTGCATACATAAGCACTTTGAGCGTGCAACACAGGATCTCTTGTGCAGCAGATATATTCCAGGACAAGCCCGAGATATGTTTCGAATCTTAACATAAAGATTCCTGATAAGTTTGATATGTATCAGATCTTGAAATCTTTGGATTTCTTTTAATATTCAAACTTATATGCTTCATTTGTTCAAAGTTATACCCAATCACTTGGGGTGGACGGTAGAGCGACGGTCTCGCTTCATGCAGGTCGGCGTTCAATCCCCGACCGTCCAAGTGGTTGGGCACCATTCCTTTCCCCCCGTCCCATCCCAAATCGTATCCTGACCCCTTCCAAGTGCTATATAGTCGTAATGGCTTGGTGCTTTCCCCCCGATAGTTCCCTTCCCTTCCGGTGTGTCCAGATTCATTAATACATTAATGTTCAAAGTTATATGGTTACAAAATTAACTGGTTACAAAATAGGAATATTATAAAATGTTTGTTACCTACAAGCTGGTACTTTCTTCGAACTCCTCCGACGCTGGGCAGGAACCGAGTATACATTGGCATCACCACACTGATCACCAGTTGATTGACAGTTGAGAGGCGGGACCAAAGAGCCAAAGCTCAACCCCCGCAAGCACAATTAGGTGAGTACAATTAGGTGAGTACTGATGTGCTGGAGAAGGAAACTGACTGCTCTATGGGCTCCTGTTGCTTAGATGAGCCTGAAACCCAGATTCTTGAGAAAGCTCCAGTCACTGTCTTCCCGTGGACCAAGAATCTCAGAGTCTGTAGGAATAAAGTTTTAATGCAGGCGATGAGTCACAATAACGTGGCTAAAGTATGTTGACCAGACCACACACACTAGAAGGTGAAGGGACGACGACGTTTCAGTCCGTCCTGGACCATTCTCAAGTAGATTGTGGTCCAGGTTGTTCAAGTCGAGAATGGTCCAGGACGGACCGAAACGTCGATGACTTACTGTAAATATGTAGCACTTATAATAGCACTTTCTCTGTAACTAGATGACATTGTATCTATAAGGTGTGAAGGATTGAAGAAATTGTTTATGTAATAATATAAGATGAGGTCTGATAAAGACCTTTTGTGCCCTCTGTAATGCTTTTGCGCTACCGCTCACAGGATGAGTATGGGGTGCACAATAAACTAGCCGCCTTCGGCGGCAACAATCATCAACCGTCGTCCCCTTCACCTTCTAGTGTGTGGTCTGGTCAACATAAAGTTTTAATGGTGCTTTATTTCACAGTACTCGTCTGATCTGACCTCTTAGAGCAACAGAGAGGGCAGTGTGTGTGGCTGCCAAGGTGAATACACAAATATAGTTCCATGCCAGCTGTCTGCCGGTCCTCCGTGAGCGTAGTGTAATTCCATTTCCTCAACCAGCGGGGAGAGCAGACGTTATGGGACATTAGAAAACGAGGCACTCTGCTGGAAACTGGGCAGATGCGAGGCTTTTCATAATGATGTCACTGACTTCGTGGTGTCTTGTGTGGCATCCCTTGAATTTTTCCACAGTTCAAGCCATGTAACCAGTATTCATCTGCTTCCGCCTCACCACAAATACATTTATATACAGTGTGTGTACTGGGGCAGTAGAGCGGAGGCCAACTGCACATCGCGTGCCTATCACAGATTAGGGACCGCTAAAAAGAAATCCCTTACATGGGGAGTAAGCACGGCATTGTGCAAGCGTGGTCACTGGGTATCGTTGCTGTTTCCACACACACATATGTGGCAGACTCCATACACAGTTTCAAGTGTAGATATGATAGAGCCAAATAGGCTCAGGAATATGTACACCGGTTGAGAGGCGGGACCCAAGAGCCGAAGCTTAACCCCAGCAAGCACAATTCATAGTTAGGTTAGTGCACACACATTTCACATATTGTGCAAGAATACTCCTCCTTAGTCCTAGCATTCTGACAGAAAACAAAGGAGATGGGATCCGACCTCCGCTGGGGAAAATTTACATGAAATGTATTAATACAAAAATTCTTTGCCAGAGGCACAGACACACACAGTGACGGAGCTGCGGAACTTAAGCTCCTGTCCTCGGGTCCCTTCCCAGTCACACAAGTATCATCAGAACCGGATAGACGAAGCTGATGTTACTTACGGGCAGCCTGATGTTAATGATGCGAAAACAAAATACCGGATGGTATACAAATGATGACGCCCTGGGGTTAATGGGTGTTTGGTAGGGTATTATTGTGCGCTGACCCAGCCGTCACTATGGCTGGTACTGACCCAGCCGTCACCATGGCTGGTACTGACCCAGCCGTCACCATGGCTGGTACTGACCCAGCCGTCACCATGGCTGGTACTGACCCAGCCGTCACCATGGCTGGTACTGACCCAGCCGTCACCATGGCTGGTACTGACCCAGCCGTCACCATGGCTGGTACTGACCCAGCCGTCACCATGGCTGGTACTGACCCAGCCGTCACCATGGCTGGCACTGACCCAGCCGTCACCATGGCTGGTACTGACCCAGCCGTCACCATGGCTGGTACTGACCCAGCCGTCACCATGGCTGGTACTGACCCAGCCGTCACCATGGCTGGTACTGACCCAGCCGTCACCATGGCTGGTACTGACCCAGCCGTCACCATGGCTGGTACTGACCCAGCCGTCACCATGGCTGGTACTGACCCAGCCGTCACCATGGCTGGTACTGACCCAGCCGTCACCATGGCTGGTACTGACCCAGCCGTCACCATGGCTGGTACTGACCCAGCCGTCACCATGGCTGGTACTGACCCAGCCGTCACCATGGCTGGCACTGACCCAGCCGTCACCATGGCTGGTACTGACCCAGCCGTCACCATGGCTGGTACTGACCCAGCCGTCACCATGGCTGGCACTGACCCAGCCGTCACCATGGCTGGCACTGACCCAGCCGTCACCATGGCTGGCACTGACCCAGCCGTCACCATGGCTGGTACTGACCCAGCCGTCACCATGGCTGGCACTGACCCAGCCGTCACCATGGCTTTCACTGACTTGTGGCAATAAAAAAGACACACAGATAATAACTCAGATAATTATAATGAATTTGGCCTGGCGGCGCAGGTAATGAGGCAAGATGATTGGTAAAGGTAAATGATTTTCACACCCGAGGTGGCAACACCCTCGCTCGGCCACGCCCTCGCCGCCCCCGCCACCACCACCACCACCACCAGACCACTATCTCCATAACCACCACCACCAGAGCCATCACCACCACTACCACCACCACCACCAGACAACTATCTCCATCACCACCACCACCACCACCAGACCACTATCTCCATCACCACCACCACCAGAGCCATCACCACCACCACCACCACCAGACCACTATCTCCATCACCACCACCACCAGAGCCATCACTACCTCCACCACCACCACCAGACCACTATCTCCATCACCACCACCACTATCTCCATCACCACCACCACCACCACCACCAGAACCTTCACCACTATCTCCATCACCACCACCACCACCACCACCACCACCACCACTATCTCCATCACCACCACCACCACCACCACCACCAGAACCTTCACCACTATCCCCATCACCACCAACACCACCACCACCACCACACCACCAACACCACCACCACACCACCATCACCACCACTATCACCACCACCACCACCACCACACCACCACACCACCATCACCACCACCACCACCACCACCACCACCACACCACCACCACCACCACCACCACCACACCACCACACCACCACCACCACCACCACCACCAGAACCTTCACCACTATCTCCATCACCACCAACACCACCACCACACCACCACCACCACACCACCACCACCACACCACCACACCACCACCACACCACCACCACCACACCACCACCACCACACCACCACATCACCACCACACCACCACCACAACCACCACCACCATCATCATGAAAGGTGCTTCACAACATAGAGAAATAAGCTGATATAACTGGGAAAAACACTGTAACTGGACAAGGGAATACCTGATGAACAGGAAACAGTCACAGTCAGATAGGTGTCGAGCTGAGGGGATGTGACAGGTTGGATCACTCCAAGGCTCCGTCCTGGGACCATTACTGTAGCTAGTTTATGTCCCTGCCCGTCCCCAAGGAGTGAGCTCGTTCCTATCAATATTGCATAGCCATCCTGCAGGAGTGAGCTCGTACATATCAGTGTTGCATAGCCATCCTGCAGGATGGCTATGCAACCGTCCCCGGAACAACCGTGGACATTTTCAAGAGGAAACTAGATTTATTCCTCCAAGGAGTGCCGGACCAACCGGGCTGTGGTGGGTATGTGGGCCTGCGGGCCGCTCCAAGCAACAGCCTGGTGGACCAAACTCTCACAAGTCAAGCCTGGCCTCGGGCCGGGCTTGGGGAGTAGAAGAACTCCCAGAACCCCATCAACCAGGTATCAACCAGGATGTGCTCGTACATATCAGTGTTGCATGGCCATCCCGTAGGAGTCAGCTCGTACGTATAAATGTTGCAGACTCGCAAAACTCATGAGGAATATAAAACCCAAGGAAGTCTAAAGATTTGTTGAACGAACTTGATAAAATCTCAAAGTGTAAATTAAAATGGCTGTTAGAAATTAACATAAAAAGTGTAAGGTAATTAAAATGTGAACGGAAGATTCAAAACCGGAAGGCATCTATAGAGCTCGAAAAGCGAAAACGCTTTTCGATTGAATACAACACTGACACCAGAGGCACGAGTAGCAAGATAACATCAGCAGTATATGGGAAGTTGACCAACATTAGAACGGTTTTAACTAAATAAGGACTTTCAAGACAATCTGTGCAGCCTTTATGTGGCCAGTACTAGAAATACGCAGCACTGCCTTGGACTCCATCTCGTGAAACACACAAAGTTTAGCCTAAAGTCCAGCCAACCCAACCCTTACCCCCCTCCCCACGCCATCTACCCCCAACACAAAGCACCTCCACCACTCCAACAACCCCTACCACCTCCCTCAACCCAACGACCCCCACCACCCAATCCACCTTCCCCCCAACCAAAGATGAACTAATAACAATAATCATAACATACACAGATCCATAGCTGTGCCCTCTAATCTTATCTTTTTGTGTAGGATTTCTGACAAAAGAATTATGAAAACTGTTATTGGAAATGTGGCATTAACTTGGTAAGCCGGATTAACCAACACGAGCCTAGGTAGGGGTGAGGAGGCCATACAACCATATGGTAGAGGTAAAGGCTTGGTGGTGAAGTTAGGGGTGAACAGAAAAGGTTAGAGGTTAACGGAAAAGGTTAAGGGGAAACAGAAGAGGTTAATATTTAATAAGAGAGGTTACGAGTCAACCTGAGAGGTTATGTAACAACAGGAGAGCTTATGAGTCAACAGGAGAGGTTACGTGACAACAGGAGAGTTAAGAGTCAGCAGGAGAGGTTATATGACAACAGGAGAGCTTATGAGTCAACAGGAGAGTTACGTGACAACAGGAGAGTTAAGAATCAGCAGGAGAGGTTATATGACAACAGGGGAGCTTATGAGTCAACAGGAGAGGTTACGTGACAACAGGAGAGTTAAGAATCAGCAGGAGAGGTTATATGACAACAGGGGAGCTTATGAGTCAACAGGAGAGGTTACGTGACAACAGGAGAGTTAAGAGTCAGCAGGAGAGGTTACGTGACAACAGGAGAGTTAAGAGTCAACAGGAGAGGTTATATGACAACAGGGGAGCTTATGAGTCAACAGGAGAGGTTACGTGACAACAGGAGAGTTAAGAATCAGCAGGAGAGGTTATATAACAACAGGAGAGCTTATGAGTCAACAGGAGAGGTTATATGACAACAGGAGAGTTAGGAGTCAGCAGGAGAGGTTATATAACCACAGGAATAACAATTAATAATGTGGATAGGGATAAATAGGAGTGGTGAGAAGTGTGCAGGAAAGGATAGGAGATATAGTAGGAAGGTAGAGGATGTATGGTAGATGGAGGAGGAGGAGTAGGTCCGTGTGAAGAAGAGTATTGATAAATTTAATGAATGGTACATGGCGTGAAGCCCGTGGGAACCGCCTCACCTGACCACCACCTCCATCATTACCACCACTTCCACCACCATCATCACCACCTCCACCACTACCACCACTAACATTAAAACAATCACTACCACCAACAGATTTCAGGAGGTCTTTACAATAGAACCAACGTGAAGTCCAAGGCTACATGATGAGAGGCTGGAGGAAACAATGAATGACATTGAAGTCACTGTAGAAGAGGTAAAAAATACCTGGAGGAATTAAATGTGACAAAATAAACCTATTGATAAATGTGACTTAATCTCACTCGTAGCCTGGTGGATAGCGCGCAGGACTCGTAATTCTGTGGCGCGGGTTCGATTCCCGCACGAGGCAGAAACAAATGGGCAAAGTTTCTTTCACCCTGAATGATGCCCCTGTTACCTAGCAGTAAATAGGTACCTGGGAGTTAGTCAGCTGTCACGGGCTGCTTCCTGGGGGTGGAGGCCTGGTCGAGGACCGGGCCGCGGGGACACTAAAGCCCCGAAATCATCTCAAGATAACCTCAAGATAACCATGGCTGCTGAAGGAGGCCGCAGAAGTACTTTGTCACTGGCTATCCAAAATATTCAATAAAACATTCGAGACAGGAAATCTCCCAGAATTCTGGAAAAAAGCAAATGTAGGAGCCGGTCGGCCGAGCGGACAGCACGCTGGACTTGTGATCCTGTGGTCCTGGGTTCGATCCCAGGCGCCGGCGAGAAACAATGGGCAAAGTTTCTTTCACCCTATACCCCTGTTACCTAGCAGTAAAATAGGTACCTGGGTGTTAGTCAGCTGTCACGGGCTGCTTCCTGGGGGTTGAGGCCTGTCGAGGACCGGGCCGGGGGGACACTAAAAAAAAGCCCCGAAATCATCTCAAGATAACCTCAAGAAGATAGTCCCAATATTCAGAAAAGGGACATACAGGAGGCACTAGTGTCACTGACCAGTGCCACTGACAATGTACAGACCAGTGTCACTGACAAGTAATCCATGCTGGGAAAGTAATTCGACTGTGAATGGTGGAGGACCTAGAGAAGACCAGCTTTTTAATGAAAGAGCAGCATAGATATGGAAAGAGAAAATCGTGCCTGACAAACTTTATTGAGTTCTATGACAGTTACTAAAATAAAACTGGGAAAAGATGGTTGGGTAGGCTATATGTTCTTAGATTGTCAAAAAGCATTTGACACTGTTCCTCAGGAAAGTCTGAGATAACTTTAAAAACACTGAACTTGATAAAGGAGTGCCTGTAGGACAGTATGCAGAGTCACAGTCAGAGAGGATGTTTCGAGCTGGAAGAATGTAATAACTGAGGGTCCCAAAAGGCTCTCTCTTTGCACCGCTATTGTTCCTAAATTAGGTGGACGACCTTCTCAACAGATAGCTTTTACATGTAAATGTTTGCAGATGACGCAAAATGATGGAGCATGTTCAAGCATGAAGAGTACCTCAGGAAGTACAGGAGGACCTTGACAGATAAGAAGAGGGCAAATAAGTGGTTGATGAAAATAAATTCCATCAAGTGTAATGAAATAAAGATGGAGAACGTAGACCAAGAAGTATTTACACCATAAGGGGAAGACAACTACAGGAATCGGAAAGCGAGAAAGATTTGGGAGTGGATATAAATCCAACACTAACATCGGAGGCACATAAACAGGGTAACATAAGCACTATATAGACGTTGGGAAACATTAGAACATTTTTAAAACTTAAACCAGGACTCCTTCAAGGCAATCTGTACAACCTTTAAAGACTATTACTGCAATATGCAACACCTGCATGGAACCCCCCACCTGTGAAGCATTGAAACCAAAATTGAAAAAGTACAGAGGTTTGCAACAAGATTAGTACCAGAGTAAGAGGGCTATGAAGATATTCTAATGAAATTAAATTTCGCAAACCTAGAGGATAGAAGAAACAGAGGGGATATGATCACAAAATACAAAATACTATGGGGAATAGACAA